AGCGGTGCCATCTGGAATTGGATGATTGATTGCTTGATGAAGATTAAGCCACCCAAAAGGTGTCACGGGCATGAATAGCCCGTAAGTGGTGACCCTTTTGAGCCATTACTAGTATCAAGAGCTGATACTGGAGATCTGTGGAGGTGCGACTGCACCCTGCGTGACGGGAGATGTCTCCCGCCTGGAATTAGATGTGTGGGCGGCGAATAAGTAGGTGGGCGTGTTTTAGGGGTAAAGAAAGCATTTGGGGTAGTTTAAATAAATGGGTTTGTGGGTGGGTGATCTGCTGAAGAACATTACCTTAGGGTTACCTTGCGTTGAATCTTGAGAATCAATATCCCCGCTGTATCAGGTCTCCTTTCGAGGTGTTCATCACGTCCTCAAATGAACACCAGGAGAGAGCGGCTAGTTAAGACTGGGTAGAGGGAGAATATTTGTGTTATATGGAGAACTGGATTGGTGGAGTGATGAACAAGTGAGGTTGGCTGGTGAACAAGTGTTTGAACAAGCTGGCGGAGAGGGAGGACCCTCTACCAAGTAAGCCATTTCCTGGCTCAAGGGGCGGCCAATATCGACCCCAGGTCTGTTGCTCCTTCCTCTCCCTCTCGCTCAGTCAGGGTCAGCATCGCTACGTCTGGCCGATAATCGGACGGGTGACCACAAATATATTCCCTGTATGTTGTTGTTATAGATTCAGCTACTCGGAACAAGTTCCAAGTAGCACGGGCTATGGTGAGCCCGTAACTTACCTGGCACAAGAGCAGGGCAAGTAGCACGGGCTATGGTGAGCCCGTAGTGGACTTACCTGGCACAGGAGCGGGGGAAGTAGCACGGGCTTTGGTAAGCCCGTAGCTTACCTGGCACAGGAGCGGGGCAAGTAGCACGGGCTATGGTGAGCCCGAAGATATAGCCTTCGTGAATGCGATATATAGAAAGGGGAAGAGAAGTGAAGGAAGTAGTGAGGGTGGGGAAGGGACACAGATAGAGCAAGAAGTGACCGCATAAGTCCTCTAATCCTCTAAATCTAACATCGGAAACTACAATTCTTGGCCCGAAATTTTGAGAAAATGTCGAAAATACAGAAGGGAAAATACGTCGAAAACCAGTTTCATCGAAAAAAATTGATAAAATAAAATTAGATTCGGGATAACTCCGTTGAAAAGTTGCGTGTTTGTAAGTAAAGAAAATCTAGACGAGGAGCCCAGGAAAGTTTAGGAGGAATTTACGCATTAGGTATTGGGAGAGAGAGAGGAGAGGAGAGAGGAGAGGGTTGCATCTGTATGCTTCCAATTCTCTCCCTGTCTGTCTGTCACTGTCTCTCCCTGTCTCTGTCTCTCCCTCTGCCTTCTCCCTTCTCTCATTCCTATTCTTCCCGCCCTCTAATATTCCCCTCCTCCTCCTCCTTCCCACTTGGGCTGGACGGTAGAGCGACGGTCTCGCTTCATGCAGGTCGGCGTTCAATCCCGACCGTCCACCAAGTGGTTGGGCACCAATCCTTCCCTCCGTCCCATCCCAAATCCTTATTCTGACCCCTTCCCAGTGCTATATAGTCGTAATGGCTTGGTGCTTTCCCCCCCCCCCTGATAATTCCCTCCCTCCCTCTATATATCCCTTCTTCCCTCTCCCCTAATCCTAACCACACGCTGTAATTAACTTTGCTTACAAGGATTTGTGGGCTTCAAAAGTTATTTTGATTATGTTGTAGAGAATGTGAAGCCTGATTTTGATCCCAAGGTAATCAGGCTGTCGAGTGGTCAGGGAATCCTTGAGGCATGATTTTATTTGTACTAACTTACATAGGTATCTGGATATTTATACAGCTGCCCTGGACTATATGAAGGGTTATACAGTGTGTGTCAAGAGCCAGGTGTGTGATACTAAGGTACCTGGACATTTATACACCTGCCCTGGACTATATGAAGGGTTACACAGTGTGTGTCAAGAGCCAGGTGTGTGATACTAAGGTACCTGGACATTTATACACCTGCCCTAGACTATATGAAGGGTTACACAGTGTGTGTCAAGAGCCAGGTGTGTGATACTAAGGTACCTGGACATTTATACACCTGCCCTAGACTATATGAAGGGTTACACAGTGTGTGTGTCAAGAGCCAGGTGTGTGATACTAAGGTACCTGGACATTTATACACCTGCCCTAGACTATATGAAGGGTTACACAGTGTGTGTCAAGAGCCAGGTGTGTGATACTAAGGTACCTGGACATTTATACACCTGCCCTAGACTATATGAAGGGTTACACAGTGTGTGTCAAGAGCCAGGTGTGTGATACTAAGGTACCTGGACATTTATACACCTGCCCTAGACTATATGAAGGGTTATACAGTGTGTGTCAAGAGCCAGGTGTGTGATACTAAGGTACCTGGACATTTATACAGCTGCCCTAGACTATATGAAGGGTTACACAGTGTGTGTCAAGAACCAGGTGTGTGATACTAAGGTACCTGGACATTTATACACCTGCTCTAGACTATATGAAGCTGTCTCCCTTAGGCATGATACTGTCCTTAGCCAGGAAGCAACCCCACTGATGGGTGAACCGAGGCATCAGGCCGAAAGGAAACGTGCCCAACCGCTTCTGTCCTGCCCGGGGATTGAACCCGGGTCGCTTGGTTGTAAGCACGTACACCACTGTGCTTCAGGACCTAGGACGGGTTTGAGAGTAATAGACGGATACCGTACGCACACACACTCAATAATAGACGGGTACCGTACACTCACACACTCAATAATAGACGGATATCGTACACTCGCACACTCAATAATAGACGGATATCGTACACACACACACTCAATAATAGACGGATACCGTACGCACACACACTCAATAATAGACGGGTACCGTACACTCACACACTCAATAATAGACGGATATCGTACGCACACACTCAATAATAGACGGATATCGTACACACACACACTCAATAATAGACGGATATCGTACACACACACACACACTCAATAATAGACGGATACCGTACGCACACACACTCAATAATAGACGGATACCGTACGCGCACACTCTCAATAATAGACGGATACCGTACACACACACACTCAATAATAGACGGGTACCGCACACACACACTCAATAATAGACGGATGTGTACTGTATATTTGTCGTAAGCAAATCCAAGTTTCATTGACTTTGTCTCCTGTCGATGTCTCGACTGTTGGTAATTTCTCTTCCGCCTCGTGTATTGTGAAGTCGACACTCGACACCTTGAGAGTTCTCGTAGTCGACACCAATTCCCCACAGTGGAACACCCCGTGTTTGTGTCCTTAATGCTAGTAATTAACCCCTGCGATCCCACTCCTCTTCACTCCTAGATAAAGGGGAACTGACTGACTCGGCGCGCCGCGGGGCTCTCAACAACTTGGCTGCTGCTACATTTAGCCGCTATATTGAGCTCCAGTCTTTGCGGCGAAGTTCTAATCGTGTATTATTGCTCCCTTGCCACAGCAATGGTGTCGCATTGCTACATATTGGCCATAGCGATACCTTTGACGTCAGTGTCGCAGGTATCTACATCCAGAGAGGCGTACCCCTGTGCAGACGAGGAGTCACAATAACGCAGTATTCATCCCTGTACGAGAGAGTAAACGCGTCGTGACGCAGTATTCATCCCTGTATAAGAGAGTAAACGCCTCGTGACGCAGTATTCATCCCTGTACGAGAGAGTAAACGCCTCGTGACGCAGTATTCATCCCTGTATGAGAGAGTAAACGCATCGTGACGCAGTATTCATCCCTGTACGAGAGAGTAAACGCGTCGTGACGCAGTATTCATCCCTGTATGAGAGAGTAAACGCCTCGTGACGCAGTATTCATCCCAGTACGAGAGAGTAAACGCCTCGTGACGCAGTATTCATCCCAGTACGAGAGAGTAAACGCGTCCTGACGCTCAATACTGACCCTCAATGTCCATGACTTGAGATCTATTAAGACCAACCACTCGTTCCATCGATCCTCATCTTCTGGTAAAGACGTGACGTCACACCCAAGACGTTGAGTTATAAAACAAATGAATGCTGTGGTTTGGTGCGGTTATGTTGGGATTTAGGCCTTGGGCCGGTTATTCAGTGCCATGTGTGTGATGTTATTCAGTTTCTTGATGTGCTGATTGAGATAGAGGCCTCATACAACCACCGCTGTATATTCCATTTTTGGTATCGCAAAACTCGTGAATAGTTTCTCTAGTACTTAGCGTATACTCCTTGCACAATGTCCTTTTGTGTGTTCCTCCGGTGTGTGTGTGTGTGTGTACTCACCTATTTGTGCTTGCAGGATCAGCATTGACTCTTGGATCCCGCCTTTCCAGCCATCGGTTGTTTACAGCAATGACTCCTGTCCCATTTCCCCATCATACATAATTTTAAAATTATGAATAGAGTTTGCTTCCACAACCTGTTCCCCAAGTGCATTCCATTTTTCCACTACTCTCACGGTAAAAGAAAACTTCCTAACATCTCTGTGACTCATCTGAGTTTTCAGCTTCCACCCATGTCCCCTCGTTCTGTTATTATTACGTGTGAACATTTCATCTATTTCCACTTTGTCAATTCCCCTGAGTATTTTATATGTCCCTATCATATCTCCTCTCTCCCTTCTTTTCCCTAGTGTCGTAAAGTTCAGTTCCTTCAGACGCTCTTCATATCCCATCCCTCTTAACTCTGGGACAAGCCTCGTCGCAAACCTCTGAACCTTCTCCAGTTTCCTGATGTGTTTCTTCAGGTGGGGGCTCCATAATGGCGCGGCATACTCTAAGACTGGTCTCACGTAGGCAGTGTAAAGCGCCCTAAAAGCCTCCTCACTTAGGTTTCTGAATGAAGATCTAATTTTCGCCAGTGGTTAACGCTGCTGTCGTTATCCTATTTATATGTGCCTCTGAAGTTAGATTAGGTGTTACGTCCACTCCCAGGACGTAACACCTAATCTGCAGTAATCTGTAATAGCTGACGTTGGCTCATGTACCTTTGCAGGAGAACGTGTTGCTGAAGCAGAGAGGCAGCAGTAGTATCCGCATCATAGACTTCGGCTCCTCGTGCTACGTCCACCAGCGAGTCTACACCTACATCCAGAGTCGCTTCTACCGCTCCCCCGAGGTCATACTCGGCCTCCCCTACGGCCTCCCCATCGACATGTGGAGCCTAGGTAGGTGTCGAGGGGCAAAGGTAGGAGTAGCAGCCTCCTCTCGGATGTAAGTTAGGGTAATTGTGAGGAGAAAGCACCAAGTATGATTATATAGCACAATGAGCAAGGTTGTGAGGACGGAGTGAAGGAATATGGTGTCCAACTACTTGAATTGGAAGCAGAACGCTGACTTTGCGAGAAGTGAGGTCGTCGATCCACCGACCTGGCAGTTGGTGAATTTAGGGTCGCAAGTGGTAGATATAGACAGAGATAGATATACTGTATAGAGAGAGAGAGAGAGAGAGAGAGAGAAATATACAGTGTGTACTCACCTAGTTGTGTTTGCGGGGGTTGAGCTCTGGCTCTTTGGTCCCGCCTCTCAACCGTTAATCAACAGGTGTACAGATTCCTGAGCCTATTGGGCTGTGTGTGTGTGTGTGTGTGTGTGTGTAATATCAATATAATTTTGTGTGTGTGTATGCATTCTAGATACAGTGTTGTGGTGGTAGGAGGAGCTAGGTATACTTGGAGTATATCAGGAGTAGGTTCTGAGAGTTCTACACCTCGAGCCTAGCCTGGGGCCGGCGTGCCAGGCTTATCTTCTGATTACTTGGTCTTTAAGGCTGTTGCTTGAGATGCTTGAGATGTCTTATCCATCCTAACCCATCTGGTCTGACTTCCTCCTAATTGTTTTTATTTGAACATGTCCATCTTTATTCCAGCAGTATTTCTTGTATTTGTTGGAAGGATTTTGAAGAGAAGTTGACCTATAATGTTCATTTAGTGTTCTGTGTTTTAATTGAGTGAACATTTAAGTGTTCAAGTTTTCATAAACTGACAACAATAACTTGGCACAGCCAAAGTGTTAACCAGCAATTCTGTTCCATATATTCATCATATTTACTTATTTTCTCAGCTACATGTTTATACAGTACTCTTGACAGTTTTAGAGGAACAACGTGTGTGTGTGCTATGAAGTTCACTGCTCTCAATGTTCCTCCCCCCCCCCACAGGCTGTATTCTGGCCGAGCTGTACACGGGATACCCACTGTTCCCAGGGGAGAACGAGGTGGAGCAGCTGGCCTGCATCATGGAGGTCCTCTCCCTGCCTCCACACCACCTCCTCATAGCCGCATCCAGACGTAGACTCTTCTTTGGTATGTTTTACGAAAGAGTTAATGAATAACTGAATGTGAAAATCTGATTACAGATGACCTTGAGATCTTAACAGTATCAAGATTATTGGTCAGGAACACAATCTGCTGTCCCTGGTTCTTCTACAGAGGTATACTTGGATGAACAGGGATACAGGGATATCCCTGTTCATCCAAGACAGGAAGACAGGGATACAGACGGACGTATCCTTGTCTGGGCAGATGAAACTGGGATAAAAATCAGAAGGCTCTCTCCCTACTCTACACACCCTTCATTTCATATTGCCAGCAGGGAAATCATTTTTGTATACCGTGTTATATTGGAAAAATATACTTGGAAATTCAGCAAACAAGAAGGAATGCAGGGTCGAGCCTGCCTACTTGGTAGGCAACACTATATTCTGGTTCACCAAACGGTTTACCTGTTAGCCACTTCTTTGCAGCCCTCCCAGGGTTCTGGTCCACCATGATTTATTTTGAGCGATGTTCCACAGTACATAGAATTATTTAATACAGTATTTGCATTTAACATATTACGTACCATAGATTATGGTCTAATGGGAACATTAATCAATCCTATACTATATTTTTGCATTATGTAGACTTTTAGCCTTCCAACTCATTCATTTAACTAACTTTAATAATATATTTAATATTTATATCAGCATGTTCATAAGCCCTCTGAAGGCTGAGGCCCTAGGGAATATATCCCTGGATTCCTGTCCTGTATGTGAGCCTGTTAAATTTAACTGCAAATCCTAGTTGCTGTGGGGGGGGGGTATTTAACACGGGTGGTACACGAACAAGGGGACACAGGTGGAAGCCGAGTACCCAAATGAGCCACAGAGACATTAGAACAAACTTTTTCAGTGTCAGAGTAGTTAGTAAATGGAATGCACTAGGAAGTGATGTGATGGAAGCTGACTCCATACACAGTTTCCAATGAAGATATGATGGAGCCCAGTAGGCGCAGGAACCTGTACACCAGTTGATTGACGGTTAAGAGGCGGGGACCAAAGAGCCAAGCTCAACCTCCACAAGCACAACAAGGTGAGTATAAGTAGGTGAGTTCATACACAGGTGAGGTGGTCGTGGAGGCCAAAACCGTAGTAGTCTCAAATCATTAGTCTCAATCAGTAGTCTCAAAGTAGATCAGTAGTCTCAAAGCATTATACGACCAAGAGTACTGGGGAAGACTGGACACCATGAGCAAAGCTCTCATCCTGTAACTATACTTGGATAATTACACACACACATACACAGGACAAAACTAATTATTAACATGTAATCATTATTGATATGTAGTTATAATTGTTTACCTACAATAACCGATACTGAATTCATCTTTCCTGTGGCAGACTCGAAGGGTAACCCAAGATGTGTCACCAACAGTAAGGGGAAGAAGCGTCGACCTGGCTCTCGTGACCTGGCCTCCGTCCTAAAGTGTTCTGATACGCAGTTCGTCCACTTCATAGCTCGCTGCCTCGAGTTAGTAATCCCCACTTTATGGTTCTAAGTAGTAGTAGTACAGCATGTTAATGGTGATAGTTGTAGTAATAGTAGTATGATAGGCTACACATTGTGGAATTGATAGAAGGGCCTAAAATGACCGGACCCATTGATAATGCAGTGCTTGCAGCTTCTATTCCATTGAGGTTTTTCATGTTTGTTTTATTATAAGATGTTTGAGAGTTTTCTTTCTACAAATGATAGAGCATTACAAATAATATACAAATAATGCACTTTTGAATATAAAGTACAATACAATAAAAGTGTGTTCAAAAGAATGTGTGAACAAAGAATATAGGAGTAATGTACAAATTGTAGGGACAGGAGGTACACAATCTATGAAGCCACTACTGTATTATGCAAAGTGTTTCGGGGAAAAACATAAAATAAATTGACAAAGTATACGTACCTAACCTACATTTGTATATCTGAGCTACTGTATTCCACTCAGTTGCTCCCTAAGGCAAGATATTCCAGCATCTGTAAGTGCAGATCAATATTCTGCACTTACACAGCAAGGATCTTTACATATTGTACATTCCAGGTCATACTAGTGTTATGAAGGAACTATAAAATTATCAAACCAGCTAGGAATGACTTTCAGAAGATAAACTAAGAAACACGTAAAACCCCTCCAAGTGCTACGTAGCCGCTCTGTTCCAACCTACCAGTTGGTCGAGCAAGGCACTATTACTGAATGAAACATTCTACTTGACTGGTCCCTATGCCACTTGTGAGCATGCAAGAGACTGGATTTAGTATATTCTTAGACACCTCAGTTTTATTGTACAGTTTATATAAATATTTTTATAAATGTTTAAACCAGGTACTGCAAGCAAAATATTCCATGTTGCAGGTGGGACCCATCAACCAGAATGAGTCCAGAGGAGGCATTGCAACATGACTGGCTCCACACATCCCTCACCTCTACTATTTCATCATCATCATCATCATCAACAACACAGGTGGGGACGTCGGAGCGTCGGTCAGGTGTGGTGAACGGCGGAGGGCCAGCCGGTAACCCTAGACGCCAAGGGCCCATCACTCAGGACTCCACTGAGGAGGATAATTACTCCTTATACAAGGTCTGTCTGTTTTTCCCTCCTTCCCTAATACACCACTAGAAGAGGTACATTTTGTTGTCTTTAATGCATCATTTATTTACAATACTGTATTGTACTGTACAGTAGATGTAGTAATAATTTTATTTAATTCCTGTTATCAGGGACAGGAAGCCTGTGTAAATATACTTTAGACCTGTATCAAGGTCACCTCCTATGTTGAACTACAGTACTGACCTTTCTGAGGATGCAACCCCATCAAAAAGGAAACATGCCCAATTATGGTTAATTAGTCATTATAGAAAAATATTATTTAATGAAGCCACTAATACACAAGGCAGATGAGTCACAATAACATGGCTGAAGATATGCTGACCAGACCACACACCAGAAGGCGAAGAGACGATGCAGTTTCGGTCCGTCCTGGACCATTAACAAGTCGATTGTGATAATAGACTTGATAATGATTCAGGACGGATTGAAACGTCATCGTCTCCTCACTTAATGGTGTGAGGTTTAGTCATCAATATACTAAGCATTTTGGGCATAACTTAAAATAATTCAGTTAAATCATTTATTGATTTAATGGATAAACACAATACTAAATGTTCAGAAAAATTTAACAAATGGTATACAGATTTAGTGATAATGATGAAAAGCATAAATACTATATTATAGAATATGTAGTTTTAGTAACGGTACAGATATAGTACTTAATATTTACCAAATAGAAACAGCAAAACACTAACCCACTATCTGCAATAGTCAGACATTGCATCTTATTGGAGTCGACAGACCCAGCTGGCCATGCCACCTGCCAACCTTCTACAACTTGCTTAACCAGTAAATATGTAGATGCATATTTACGTCATTTCCAGTTGTCCTTACAATTTGCATGGGGAAGAGAACTCCAGTGATGACCTCGGGGGTTTCTGTGATCTGCTCTTTACTTTTAAATTCATTCACTATAATTTTTGTGTTCAGTAACTAGATTTATCTACATGTTATTTATAAAAACATGGATTGTGTGCATTACTAAAAAGATAATGTATTAACAAAAACATGGATTGGATGCATTACTGAAAGGATAATGTATTTAGCCCTACAATGAATGTATGTACAGTATCAAAAAGAACATAAGAGCTAAGGAAGTTGTAGAAGGCCTATTGGTTCAGATGTGGCACCTAGTTCATGTGGGACTTTTTTTCCCTGATTCTTTAATTCTTCTTAGGAATATAGCAGCCTAATATCTTTAATGATCATGCAAAAGCAATTGTTTGTTATCCATAAATTTAAAATCTATGTGAATAATAAGTGAATAAAAAATATATTTTTGTAATTGCAGGTATACAAAGGGAAGCGTCATCGGGACACAGGTGTGGTGGTGTCAGAGGTTGGAGCCAAGCAGGAAACCACCATTGGCAATGCCAATGCCACCACCATCACCTCTAACCCTGGTGTTAATGGCAATCCAGAGGGCACATCAACAGAGAACTCTCTGGATGATTCGGGCACATTCCTCCCACCAATTCTCTAAATTGTGAATATGTATGACGAGCAGTGGACATTCTCTCAGCCCTCTGTGAGAGCCATAGGCAGTGCTGATCCCCAAGTGCTAGGCGGGTTACTAGCCCAGCAGGGAAGCACTAGCAGCCTGTGTGTGTTTGTGAGCATCCCTCCTAGACAGCAAGTTAGTGACAAAGCTGGTGTAGCAGCTCACATGACAGACCTGAAACATTTTATAGAATGGCAAATGCAGAGATTAAGATATTTTATAAATGTTAAGTGATCAGTGACTCTAGAAATATATGGTCTTGTCAGGAACACACACACACATCTACTAGTCCTGTGTGGACCTTCTGCAAGAGATTCTATCTTTGAGCAAAGTGTACCCGATGTGCCCTAAGCTGTGTATAGTTATAGCTGCAGTTATGTTAGGTGTGGCCCTCGCCCTCCTTCCTTTACTCTCTATCACTCATTGCTGATTTCTTCTACTTTTCTGTGATGCAACTCATTCCATTCACTTCATACATTCCCTTTACCTCTAATAAAATAACTTGCAAAATTGAATCATCTTTAGTATTCTAATTTGGTATACAGTATCTTCATCACCTGGATTGCTCCATCACCTTCTGTCACCATATCCTAATTATCTTGGCCTATATCCTTGGTCTTTTTCATTTCCGAGTCACACAGCCTTCACCTGTTATATGCCTTCCCTTGATCTCTGCCTTTTATAATCTTTTCCACACTCTTGCAGTCTTACTTTTGTATACTACATTTATAATCAAGCTGGCATAAATCATCCTCTGTTGTATTTCATATTTTATCTTCCCTTTTTCTGTATTGAATACTTTTTTTTTCTCTGCATCAGCGAGGTCTATGCAATACAGTATTACCCTCGACTCTTCTCTGCCTCCCTTGAAGCATGATGGCTGGCCTCACATGCAAAGGAAACATGACATCCCAGCAGGAGTGTTCTTGGTTGTGACAAGATCAGCAGCTTAACCAACCCAATATGTCCTTGGAGACTATTGTTACTGAAAACTGGATCAAGATCAACAAGTCCCTGATGCTACAGTACAACTCATCAAAATCCTAGTGGAACTAATTTCCTCATAACCACTATATTATGCAGGGGTATTTTTATTGATATTACAAATTTTCATCCATTTCACTGTAGGGTAACGAAACACGTTGAAAAAATATTTTCTCCTGTGAGACTCGGCCTTATCGCGGCTCTGTGATAGCCTTAACATATCTCTTTAATAAGCCTTACCAAAGATTCACCAAAGATGTATCTTTTGTATCTTAGTCATATCTTTGTAGATAACTCATAGTCTTCAAAACTGCTCCTTCTGCCTCGAGTCTCCTATATATCTAGCCAGTTAAACACAGCCATCCCAAAAATTGTCCAAGTATCAATGACTGGTTCCATACCTCCTTTCCCAGCAGATGCTTTTTCCCATACATTAGAAACTCGGGTGACAGCCAGGTATAGAAGATTCTGATGCACTACAACAGTTGGGTAATCAGGCATAACAACGCCCCCTGACTCAACTTATTAGTCAACTGTTAAATGCTGGTAAAGCTCCAGTGTACCACAACAGTGGCCTGATAAGTTCAGGAAAGCTCTGACATAAGTCATTTTGATCAGAGTCAGTAAATTCTAAACATATTCATATCTCAATATTTATCTCATCACGGCCAACAGAGTACCAACACCTCCCACCAATTGGTAGACCTGGGCCGACAATACTATACTCAAGACAACACCTGCATCAGTCTACCCTTCTTCCCCCCATGAAGAATATGAGCTTAAATCAGATGGATACGCTTTAATACAATTCAGATTTTGAGCTTTGACCCTGATGTAGTAATAGAGATTTTTTCAACTGTTTTTATGAATGAAGGAAAGCATGAAGATCCTGAAGCATGGCTGTTGAGATCACATAAAGTGCAAATATTATTGTCAACAAAAAATTCTAGGACAAAATCTTTAACATTTTGCTTCATTAAATAGACAAAACTTTCATTAAAAATGTCTTCATTGAAGTACTATTTCCAAGTGTGTCCAATAGGAGGAACATGATTGTTTTATATACACAGTATATAATATATATATATATGTCGTACCTAATAGCCAGAACGCACTTCTCAGCCTACTATTCAAGGCCCGATTTGCCTAATAAGCCAAGTTTTCATGAATTAATGTTTTTTCGTCTACCTAACCTACCTAACCTAACCTAACCTAGCTTTTTTTGGCTACCTAACCTAACCTTACCTATAAATATAGGTTAGGTTAGGTTAGGTAGGGTTGGTTAGGTTCGGTCATATATCTACGTTAATTTTAACTCCAATAACAAAAAATTGACCTCATACATAGAGAAAAGGGTTGCTTTATCATTTCATAAGAAAAAAATTATAGTAAATATATTAATTCAGAAAAACTTGGCTTATTAGGCAAATCGGGCCTTGAATAGTAGGCTGAGAAGTGAGTTCTGGCTACTAGGTACGACATATATATATATATATATATATATATATATATATATATATATATATATATATATATATATATATATATATATATATATATATATATATATATATATATATATATATATATATAAAATACACACACACACACTTTCTCTATATACTACACTTCACATTCTTAATTATCAGCACTCTGTACTTACATACAGAAGGCAGTTCATTATCAAATAAATTTGCATATCCTGTCAATATATTTACTTCTGTGATATTCACATTAAACTAAAAGCTATCTTTAATGGCCGATTCTGATTTATGATATTAATGACACACTAGTGGAATAGGAATTTTCTCCCATGTCAGTTTCCCAATAGTGGAATATATTTATTTTAATGTCTTTTCAAATGGCTAGAATATAAGCAAATATTATTAGCCTTTTACTTACTTACTTTTGTCAAGAAGTGTAGTCTATATTTAATTTACCATTTTATAATTATTGTAATTAGAATTATTGAGTTTAACACATGGACTGATAAAAGATTCTGTCGCATGGTGAGATGCGACGCGACACTGAAAATAGACAATAATCTTGTGCAGTTACTGAGCAACAGCAGACACATGGGAGCCCAGACTGTGCCCCATTAAGATACACTCATGAGTGATACTGCTTGCCAGGTCAAAATGTGCTCAAGGGGATTTATGGAATTATATTGCAGTGAAATATTTTAATTTTTTTTTTTTTAATTTTTTAGATGTTAATAGTGTTGTCAGTTATGTAAACTTGTCGTCTAATTAGACCGGCAAATGTAATAAATTTTATCTTACTACATAGTCTATTTTAGCTACAGATGATTAAAAATAAAATACTGTTCTGTACCTCTATAGCAATCAAGTGTTGGGGCGAATCACAACAATGAGTCCTGTTCAGTCATATTCAGCTTTAGTTCTTAAGAAAGTGAGGATTATAAGAGTTGAATCTGGCTCATTTTTGGTGCTTGCAATCTGGTGAACATCCATGTCATAAACTGACTAATAATTCATAATAAAGTACCGGTCTTGTGTGCTGACCCCTGGTCATGTTTAGGAGATGCTCATGCCTCGGCTCAAACATTTTAATCACCTTACTTGTCAGCTGGAGGGTCCTCGTCTTTACCTTTCCTGGTCGGTTGGCGGTTCTCGTCTGTTTACTTGCTGGTCGGCTGGGGGTTCTCATCTGTTTACTTGCTGGTCGGCTGTGGGTTCTCATCTGTTTACTTGCTGGTCGGTTGGGGGTTCTCATCTGTTTACTTGCTGGTTGGCTGGGAGTTCTCATCTGTTTACTTGCTGGCCGGCTGGGGGTTCTCGTCTGTTTACTTGCTGGTCGGCTGGGGGTTCTCATCTGTTTACTTGCTGGTCGGCTGTGGGTTCTCATCTGTTTACTTGCTGGTCGGTTGGGGGTTCTCATCTGTTTACTTGCTGGTTGGCTGGGAGTTCTCATCTGTTTACTTGCTGGCCGGCTGGGGGTTCTCATCTGTTTACTTGCCGGTCGGTTGGGGGTTCTCATCTGTTTACTTGCTGCTCAAGTTAAGGAAGCCTTGTCTGTCAATGTGCTGGTCAGTTGGGGAAGTATCATCTGTTCACTTGTTGGTCAGTTGGGAGGAGGGCCTTGTCTATCCATTTGCTGGTCAGTTGGGAAGAGGGTCTTTTCTCCCCCGTTTCTTTGGAGCCGGTCGGCCGAGCGGACAGCACACTGGACTTGTGATCCTGTGGTCCTGGGTTCGATCCCAGGCGCCGGCGAGAAACAATGGGCAGAGTTTCTTTCATCCTATGCCCCTGTTACCTAGCAGTAAATAGGTACCTGGGTGTTAGCCAGCTGTCACGGGCTGCTTCCTGGGGGTGGAGGCCTGGTCGAGGACCGGGCCGCGGGGACACTAAAAAAAAAAGCCCCGAAATCATCTCAAGATAACCTCAAGATAACCTCCCCACTTAACAGTTGACTAGGGGGGGGGGGAGTCTTGTCTGTCCATTTGCTTGGGGCCTCATCTGTCCACTTACAGATCAATTGGGGGAAGGGGCCTCATCTATACACATGCCGATCAGTTGTGGAGAGTCTTAGCTGTTCACTTTCTTGTCAACAATAAAAAGTTCCTTGTATTTAGGAAATAACTGTGTGAGCAGCTCTGGGTGGTACTGTACCTGCTGAGTATACTTAGTAACAGTCTGCCAAGAAAGGTCTTGGTTTCCCTTGAGCACATCACTTAAACATGACTCAGGATCTATATTGTGATTTTAACAAAAATGACAGTGACCAATCACATTTTGTCAGCCTATAGCTGTATGAAATTAATGTGTTCTAGTTACCAGATTAAATTCTGTATCTGTAACAATGAAGCATTGCTCGATTTTTGTTCTAAATTTTAATAGGGATACTATTTGTTATAGATGAAAACAAATAAAAATAATGCAGTGACCTACAGTGTTTCATTTTTGTTGCTGGAAGTTGACGGCATATTTGTAACAATTAAGTGTGCGCACTTCCAAACAGAAGTATGCATGCACAGTAAATTACAATATTCCAAAACAGCAACCAATAGCACATTTGAGTATACAGTACTGTATTTCAATTAAGTTCTATTTTTTTGTTTACAATATTGTTATTGGTTCATCAAGAACATAATGAAAATGTATACAAGCAACAAATTCTGACCTTTGTAATATAATTTTGCAGTGAGGGCGTGTGTGCCAACCCAGGCAGACACTGGTATACGCAACGTTTTGTTAGCTTGTGTAGTGTATAGCTCGTATTTATGTATCATTACTCCTGCCTCTGTGTTGTAATGTATCACACCTTACTGTATATTTATTACATTCGCCCTGACTCATAAGTAAATAAAGTTAAATATAAAGATATACTGGTAATTGTTTTTCTAACTTGCCTGATGTATATAATGTAGTTACTGTAGATTGAATATGTTTAGATTCAGGAAATACGTGTAGCAACTACTGTACATTATTAATTTTGTACCAGTTGTACAAACTATATCCAACATTTCCTAGCATTAAGCCATTTCCCATCACCAAATCAACGAGCAGCATTGGTTTAAACTCGAGTCACGTGAACGGGAATATAAAGCTGTCGGACCACATCATCGGACTATTCTCACCACAACTCTCCAAGGAACACCATCATCTTTTACCAGTCTCAGTCCTCCCCGTTTCACCAAATGGACCTGGCTACAGACACCAGCTATGATCACTCTTGGTACCTGCCATCCCGCCAGGTAGACTTAGTTACAGCCACCAGCTGTCACCAGATTGTCCAACTATAAGTATGTAGTTAAATCAACTACAGTATACTGTATATGCATTGCAGAACCTTAATGCATTTAGAGGTAAGGCATTACTTATTCAAGTAGCTATTATCTTTGACTGTATACAGTGAATGGTGAAGTGAATCAAGTTTTTTAAACCCACACGTTTTATTTTAGCTTGTATGCAATGTGTAGGGAAGTTAACAAGTTACATTACTCCAAATATAATTGCTACACACCACCACCAAGGCTGCCATTCATGCTTGCAACATTTCCTGGAGAGAGCGAGAGCTGTTGGGCTGATGTTATAAGTAGAAGTAACCCCCTGCCTTCTTTTGACTATGTAATAGGCAATGGGAAATGGGTTTGACAAGATTGCATATAGGTCACACCTGCTTGACCCGTGGTCACTTAATGGAACAAAACGTGTTCCTTTTTATCCGAACTACATTGTCCAACTTAAGATTGTGCACCTCCTTGTAGAATGTCCTGATTTTCCGGATAATTGTATGTCTTGCTTTCCTAATGTCCCTAGGGATCATTTGTCTCAATAGAATCCTTGATGAATCCAATACCTTTGATATTGATCACCTTATGTCCTTTTGTTCTTGTATTGGTAACTTGAGTGATATTTAACACTTGAATACCCAGCAGTACATATGGTGCTAGATATTCTTCTCAGCTTGGTGCCTTCTTTTGATAATTACTTGTAGCTACATAGAATGTATATTATTAATTACGATGATCCTCTTTTAGAGTATTCCACTTAATGTTAACTACCTTTGTTAACTCGTGTCTGTCTCTTTGGTTCATTTGTGACTAAAGCATCCACCTGTGTCCTCTTGTCCTGCTTTCTCTCACTCTGAAGAGGGTATCATTGTCCATCTTATCTACTCCTCATCAGTATTTTTTAAGTTGTGATCATACCTTCTTCTGTTCCTTCTATCCTCTTGCTAAACACTAACGTAGTTCCTAAGTATTGCTTAAAAATGTTATCTCATTTGCCAAATCTCTTGAACAATCCAAATATGCTAACTTATGATTTAGTGTAAAATGTTACGCCATTAAACTTATAAATAAAGTTCCTCGTTATGTTTGCGTCATTCCCGAAACACAGCCTATTAGTCGTGTCATATATTGTATATTAAATTAATTATCTACCTATGAACTCTCCTCTGTATTATGTATCAGATGTATGTAGTTAATATACGTAAAAATTACTATAATAATAATTTCTACTTACATGAAATACATAAATCTGATACATGATACAGGGGAGAATTCATAGGTAAATAATGTACAGTATATGTAGCGACTAACAGACTTTGGGAAAGATGCAAAATAATACATGAATTTACCTGGCGGCCACACACTATAGTTGCCTCCACGAGGACAAAAAGCTAGCGGCTTGTCAAATTTCCTCCCCCCTATTTGCCCTGATTATTTTTTTCCAGCTGGATTTTCAAATTTGACAGTTGGGACAGTTACGGCTTCGGCGGGTAGGTGGTTCCGTGGGTTTATAACCCTGTGGGTGAAAATGCATCTATACATAGTATCGGATTTTAAGTAATATGTCTACAGTTTTTTGTGAGGTATTTATAATATGTGGGAGACGTGGGTGAAGCATTTCAAGAGGTGCGCTTCGAAAATAGTAAATGTTGTTTCGAGATAAACTCGAACGTAATCAATAGAGACGTGTTTATTTTCACCCTATGCTCTTCGTGTTTATTTTCACCCTATGCTCTTCGTGTTTATTTTCACCCTATGCTCTTCGTGTTTATTTTCACCCTATGCTCTTCCATGATTGCCGTTGACATTGCAAAGCGTGCATTCGCTAGTTTTCCAAAATCTGTAATAAAGATGATATGTAGTTACAGTGTGTGAAGCATTTCCTGAAGTGAGCGAAGCTTTCTTCCATACATGTTCTGAAGCAATCAGCTGTTACGCCTGGCGGCCGCGTGTTACAGCTGCGTAATCTCCGTTGTTTGTGTGACTGAACACTCCAGGGTGGTGAGGGTAGGACATATTCCCGTTGTTTGTGTGACTGAACACTCCAGGGAGGTGAGGTAGGACATATTCCCGTTGTTTGGTGAACTAGTTACATATATTAATTTGCCTACCTATAGCACTCCACCCCGGGAAAATGAATTAGTGTACATATATACTGAGCCGAACGGTGGTGACATCTTGGAGTCAGCTGATTTTATTGGATAAAGCCATGTTACTCTTCTTGCAACGTATGGCTCTCAGGCTGTTTATAGGCAATTCAAGGTTCAAGTTATTTCCTATATGGAGTTATATTATTTGGCTAACTCGATCATCAGTTCTGTCATGCATTCGGAGACCAACGTGAGATGCATTACTCATAAAATGAACTGTTACCATTAATAATAATTTTGTTGTGTTCGTGTCTAGTGTAAGACGTAAGCCTGTTACAATTTTGAGTTAAGAGCCTGGCCGAGTGAGGATATTTTGGGATTGGTTCAGTTATGTCTGCAGACATACTTTATTACAATTTGGCGTCTTCCATTTATCGTATGTTGTCTTCAACATACGTACATTGTCACATGTACATTGTAAATACATACATTGTCAACATACATTGTCTTCGTACATCCATTTGTTTATAAAATAATACAGTGGTGTTCTTAATGTTTAGCATTTGTAATTAATTAGTGCCGTGTTATTCATATCTTTTATAACTACATATTATTGTCCCCGTTGCATATATAATTATTTTTTTAATCTTCATCTTTGCTCACTTTCAACTTGCCTGTCGCCACGTCCTCTGGAGACGACTCTCTCCTCTTTCAGAAAGGTAACGCCTATTCTAATTCCCCCAAAGCGCGCGTCTTGGATACCTTAACATGGTTCTCATTGGCGTGCCAGCCCCCTGGGCACCTTGGGCGGCAAACAATCTCCGGACATCACAATGGAGGAGCTAACTCAAAGTAAGAACAAAGGCAACATTAAACAATCCTTTCCACAATTCTGGCTCACTTCACATTCATCCCGGACCCGACTCATCTGGCACAAAATTGATCATCGAATTTCGTAGCCCTGCCGACTCGTCTGAAAATTTGAGTGGGTGGTGGGCGGGAGGGGACGGGTTGGCGAGTTTGGCGGTTGCCGGGGAGGATGTTCTTAAGCAGGTAGTAGGGCTCAAACCAGACAGGTCCCCGGGGCCGGATGAAGTGTTTGCTGGGGTGCTTGGGGAATGCAAAGAGGAGCTTTGTGACCCACTGTCAACCATGTTTGGTAGATCGGTGGAGTCAGGCGGAGTGCCGGAGTTTTGGAGGGTTGCTGGTGTGATACCAGTTTTTGGGAAGGGGGATGGATCACTTGCGTCTAACTATCGACCGGTTGGCCTGGCGTCTATTGTGGGAGGGTTGCTCGAGTCTATAATGGCAAATAGAGTTCGTCTTCGTCTTGAAAAACATAGGTTGGTGATTGAGTCGCAACATGGTTTTGTAAGTGGCCGTTCATGTTTGACAGATTTGTTATCTTTTTGTTCAGGCATTGTTGAGGCAGTTGATGGTGGTGGGGGTTGCGATGTTGTATGCCTTGACTTTGGCAGGGCTTTTGATGCAGTGCCGCATGAAAGACTGGTTGGGAAAGTGGAGTCTCATGGTATTGGGGGTGCTATGTTGGGCTGGATTGGGGCGTGGCTGTACCAAAGGAAGCGGAGAGTTGGTGTGGATGGAGTCGGGTCGGAGTGGGAAAATGTTGTGGGTGGAGTGCCTCGGGGCTCTGTCCTGGGACCTCTGTTGTTTGTAATATATATGGGTGATTTGGATTCGGGTTTGAGTAGCAACATTTGCGGGTTTGCCGATGATGCGAGGATCGGTGGGGAGGTTGGTTCGGGGGGGGACTCACTGTCGCTTCGGGTTGGTCTGGATAGGGTTTTGGGGTGGTCAAAGGATTGGCAGATGCAGTTTGGTGCTGATAAGTGTAAAGTTCTGAGGTTGGGTGGTGGTGATAGAGTTGCAGGATGCGAGCTGGATGGTGTTGTGATTGCGGGGTCGGATTGCGAGGGGGATCTGGGAGTTGTGATTGGTGGGAGTTTGGAACAAAGGGATCGGTGCATGGATGTTCGTGGTGGGGCAAATCGGACACTTGGATTTATTAATCGCAGCGTTGGTGACGGGACACCTGGTGTGGTTCTCGAGCTATATCTTGCTCTAGTTGGGCCCCATTTGGATTGTGCAGTTCGGTTTTGGTCGCCATATTGTGGAATGGATGTGGGTTCACTTGAACGTGTCCAGCGTGGGATGGCTGAGTTGGTTCCCCAAATTGGAGGTCTTTCATATGAAGAAAGATTAACAAGGCTTGGGTTGCATTCACTGGAAAGGCGAGGAGTTGGGGGTGACATGATAGAGGTTTACAAGTGGATGAATGGACATAACCGGGGGGATATTAATAGGGTATTAAAAGTATCAACACAGGACAGAACACGAAACAATGGATATAAATTGGATAAGTTTAGATTTAGGAAAGACTTGGGTAAATACTGGTTCAGTAACAGGGTTGTTGATTTGTGGAACCAATTGCCGCGTAACATTGTGGAGGTGGGGTCCCTCGATTGTTTCAAGCGCGGGTTGGACAAGTATATGAGTGGGATTGGGTGGTTATAGAATAGGAGCTGCCTCGTATGGGCCAATAGGCCTTCTGCAGTTACCTTTGTTCTTATGTTCTTATGTTCTTATGGAGGGCTTTGGACAGGAGGCTTTGTGCTCTGGTCTGATGAGATTATCATATCTGGCTGAACGTCTTGATGAGTTATTGCTGTATCAGCGCCTTACAATCGTGGATATCATGGATGAACATCAGGTGGCAGCAGTGCCTATTGAATTTATAGGAGCACTTTTAGTATGACGGATCATTTTGTTCTACCGGTTTGTAGGGGTTATCACTAGGCCCATTAACCCATGGTCACTTGTTGGCCTCTGGGTTATTTTACTTCGGACCATCAAGCAGTACACAACATCATTATTACCAAAGACTGTATAGCACCCACTACCTGGCTCTCGAACCAGGGAAATTGTCATGGATTGTGCAGCTTAATTGAAATTGCGAGGTTTGTTTTGAATTGAAATTGTAATACTCGGCTGAAAAAACTTCCAAAATAATGCAATTTGAATGTCTCCAAAAATATAATCCATCGAAATTTGAGAAGCGGTAAGAGACAAGTGCAAAAACTAGGCTACTTAGGATAGGTTGCATGAGGACTTGAAACAAACCATTATCAGGATAAAGCGCTAAGGCAGTATGACTTTCAAATGGAAAGAATACGAGGACAGAGGGGAAGGAACGGTGCCCATCCACTTGGAATGCCGGGGGATCGAACGCCGACTTGCAAGAAGCGAGGTCGTCCATTATGGCCAAGTGGGCATTTGAAACTTGATAAACAAAATATCAGGCAAGTCGATGCGTAGCAAAGGTTGGTGGCGCATAATAAAAATCTAACAGTGCTAGCATCCGATAACTGTAAGATAACTTACGGATAAAGGGAGCCGGTAGGCCGAGCGGACAGCACGCTGGACTTGTGATCCTGTGGTCCCGGGTTCGATCCCGGGCGCCGGCAAGAAACAATAGGCAGAGTTTCTTTCACCCTACGCCCCTGTTACCTAGCAGTAAAATAGGTACCTGGGTGTTAGTCAGCTGTCACGGGCTACTTCCTGGGGGTGGAGGCCTGGTCGAGGACCGGGCCGCGGGGACACTAAAAGCCCCGAAATCATCTCAAGATAACCTCCCCATCTCGCAAGATAACATTAGCATGTGATCAGTTTGCTGGCAAACTTTAGATGGATTAAGAGAATATCCTCACGATCACCAGAGTGGATAAAAGTAATTGTAAAACTCCCGATTCATACCAGCAGGTCTAATGATTGGATTTACAATAATATAATGATGAAGAGTATAATAGTTTCTGCTTATAATTATTATACACGCAGTGCTCAGGATTGGGAGATTCATCACTGACAGCCACCTGCGATAGTTAACAGTAGCCTAACCTGCTGACTCTTAAAATCATTGTCTAATGAACAATTTGTGTTGCCCACAAATCTAGATATCAAATGTAACTCAAGATTTGTTTATACTAGTGCTTTCCTGCTTTTTGTCATTTCACTCAACAACTCTGAATGTTTGGAACATTGTGAGTCACCGCAGGAAGATAATGGTTGGGGACGAAACTGAATACTGCACGTTAGTAGTGTGAACTCGCCGGCGTCTGTGCCAGCCTCTCTCCTTGCCGGCGTCTTTGCCAGCCCTCTCCTTGCAGGCGTCTGTGCCAGCCCTCTCCTCGCCGGCGCCTGTGCCAGCCCTCTCCTCGCCGGCGTCTGTGCCAGCCCTTTCCTCGCCGGCGTCTGTGTCAGCCCCTCTCCTCGCCGGCGTCTGTGTCAGCCCCTCTCCTCGCCGGCGTCTGTGTCAGCCCCTCTCCTCGCCGGCGTCTGTGCCAGCCCCTCTCCTCGCCGGCGTCTGTGCCAGCCGTCTCTTCACCTGACCCAGCCTTCACCTGCCTGAGGGCCAGGTCTCCCCTCGACGTATCCAGGTGGGCACCGGAGGGTCGGGGCGTGTTGATGGAGTTATCCGCCTGGCTGCACACCTTTGTTTTAACTGCAGACTAAAAATGCAGATGGCGCGAGCAGCCGTTTATTGGGCTACGGGTTAACACGGCACAAGCCATTCCGAGCCTTAACGTAGATAATTAGAGCTTGGAACATGAGATTTCCTTCCTTATGGCTGCAACTAGAATAGCTCGTTCCGGAGAGAGATAAGCCGGACAGACAATTCTGCATGTGCAATAAGGATGCACGACCCCCAAGTGAACTATGGTTGCATTGTCTCCCTATTGATCTTGTCAACATTGCAAGCTAATTTTCAAACCTATTATTAATTAATTCCAGTAATTTGATGTTGAAATATCTTAATTTAGATCACGTGTGTGTGTACTCTGGCGAGATGATTAATTGTAATGACAACCCATCATCACAAGAACCATGAGACGGGATACT